GGACAATCTGACTGGACCACCTCTGAACAATGGTCACCCCAAATCTGTCCAGTATGCTATGCAAAACTTGGTCTATCTAAGTGGAAGTGTTTGGTTTCCCATTAACAAATCATAAAAGACTAAGTGGTTCTTCAGAATAGTGAGAAGCATCTGAATAGTTTCTGAAAAACAAAGGATTTTGGTTTATTTACAATTAATAGGAAGGCAGATGTTGTTGATAAATATGGTATATAAAATCATAGAATCATAGGGCTTCAAACCTCTGTGCAAGGCAGGAGTCCTTATACCATTCCAGACAAATAGATGTCCAATCTTTTCTTGAAAACCTGCCAGCTATTTTCTGTGTTATGCTGCATTATCAGTCCTGGCAACCATTCATAGTGGCATTGGATATTTACAAATGGGAATGGATTTTCCAAAATGTATTAGGATATAAAGATTGGTAAGGAGAAGGGAGAGGTATGCACATACATACACAAGTATACAGGTATGTTTATACAGGTATACAGCATAAGGTATACAGTTTATACAGGTATACAGTATACAGGTATATTGAAACAACTAAAATGTTGTGCAGCACGCCCAAACTCCCAGGCCTGTTAATAAGAGGATTCAAGATTGAGGAAGACATATACCATCCATCCATCCAGTAAGGAAAATGTTATACACCTGAACACTACCACAAAATTTAGAATGTGCACCAAATAAATATATTAAAATGTGAAATAATGAATGTACCTAGTAGTATTGTCATCAGGGTTCCATCCTTACCATTTCCCTCCCAATGCAATACTAAAAACAAGTCAGAAATCTCAGTTTGTAGAAACACGGGTATAAAATTCAACAATTTTATTTGAACTGTTTAGAGCTGATACTTCAAAAAGCAGAAATGATTATTATATAATGTTCTTTACATATTGGATACATTTTTATATAAATTTTAAGAGAAAAAGAAAAACCATTTAAGGAAAAGAACAATTTTGATACTGCTGAATAACCGGGTACCATTGTTTGCCATTGTATTCTTGGATGTGCAATCTAAGAAACAAAGCTTGACAACTGTTATCACAACCATCTTCCAATAACTAGGAAGTTGTGCAGCAACTATGTCAGGGACTGATCTCTGCAAATAATTTTAATACTGCTGACAGACTGGTTAATTTTTTTCAGCCTGATGATTGTCCTTAGAATGGAGCAGGTTTAACATTAAGATTGGGGCAGGTTTGATATTTAAACCAGCTCTGAAATTACCACATCATTCAGCTACTAATGGCAGCTGTGACTGAACCATGGAGCAATACAGATTCTATATTAATTACCAACAGGAGAATTGGATGGACCTCCTCCCTTTTGAGGAGGTTGCTATAACTCAGTGCACAGTAGCACAGGATTCATGCCATTTAAACTGGCCGTAGGACAAGATTTTTTAGCTATCCAGTGATAGAGTTGCCCAGTTACAGTGGTGAAAAAGCTTTAGATGAAGCTAGAGAAGTATACAAAAAACAGACTGATAAAAAGTACATTAAGCCAAAGAACTTTAAGGTAGGAAACAAAGTCTGTCTCTCTACCAAATTCCTACAATCTAGACAGCTGTCAAAGAAATCGGGCTCAAAATACGTTGGACCTTTCCCCATCTATATTATTAACCCATTAAGTGTAAAACTTTAGCTGCCAAAACCAGTCAGACATGTACCCCGGTACTTCATTATAACCTACTGAAACCAGAAATTATATCTTCCTTACTTCCCAAATTGCAACCACTTCCCAACCCCATTTATTATTGAGAGAAAGCAGCACTTTGAAATTACAGATATTTTGGATTCTCACATCCAAAACTCAGTATTTGGAAGCCTGGAAAGACTTTCCCCCCTCAGAAACTGAATAGGTCAACTCCTAACATATTAAAGCCCCCAAACTGCTTAAAATATTCCATTACCCAAATACCCAGATAGGCTGCACTGAACTGAAAATTGAATGTTATCTTTCTCTCTTTTCCCTCTTTTTTTTCTTTTGCAGACTGTCTCTTCATTATAGCTTGGGGGCCTCACAGGCATCCTGTCACAAGAAGAGGCTGAAGGATTATAGCGGGGTGGGGAAGATGAAACGGGATGACAGGTAAGAAGGACCAGAACGGCTGGATCCTGTACCAGCCAAGCACCCTGAGAAATATGCAGATTATCCTAACTTCTCAGAGTTCTCAAAACAGCTTGGCAAGCTCTGGTTGGCTGGAAACAAACTGGTCACGGAGGAAGGGATAATCTAAGGGCAAACCTACATCTTACTTTTGTACATCTTATTTTTGTATCTAGCAAGTGAGGTACTTTCAGAGCTGACTACTGCAACCAATACTCTTAGTAAAAGAACCCTTTGTTTTAACAAAATGGAATGGAAAGCTTTTCTTTCTAAGGATTTATATTGGAGAAGGTTTGACACAGAGCTTTCAGGCAAAGAGGAAACAGCGTTGTATCCTTGGGGCTGTTTGCTTTTTAAAAAAGATGGAGTCATTGTGCTTACAGAAACAAGACTTGTATTTATAGATTTGATTATGGTTAAAAATATGGCATCTTGATTTTACTCTTGAGAAAGAATTAACTTTGATAATGCCATTCGTGAAAATGTGTTTCAACACTTTTGTGTTATGCTTTCAGTAACGTTTTATTCCTATTCTCAACAGTGTGTGTCAGAGGGAGAGAGAAAGAGGGAGGGTGGGAGAGGAAAGGGGGAGGGAGGGAGGGGAGAGAGAGGGAGGGAGAGAGAGAGAGACACTTTTGTTTCCTTCTTACAACTGCAATTCTGACATCTTATGTCCACTATTTGCATCCAGTTTCCTTAGAGCCACTGGAAATGTTTATGTTCAAATTCCTCATCCTTCCTCACTTGCTTTTATGGCTGGATTGTATCACTGTGGTGCACAGAATGGAAAACATGCATACCATCAGCAATTGTGCAAATATACATTCACATATGGGATCACAATCATTACAAGTAACTTCTGTGGCCACTGGGTTATATACAAACATATGCTCTATAAGCAGACTGTAAAAATCATCACAATGCATACATAAATATAGCAATATTCTGGTCTGGAATATTTGGTCACATGATATGTTAGATTGTCAAATCAGAGTATGTCATTTATCAAAATACGACTAAGTGAACCCAAAATAAGATCTCTCTCTCCCTTCTTTTTCTCATTTTAAAATTTACTTAAGATTTTTTTAAAAATAAAAACTTTAAAAATATTAGTAGAAATTCATTTCAGTATAAAACTATGACTTTTTAAATTGTTTCTTGAAACATAAAAAATATGCACATATTGTTCTCTAAAAAGAAGTGTGGCTATTCTTAAAGCCAGAATATGAAACACTGCCTCCTCCTCTCAGGCATGGACAAAATGCTCCGTGTATTCATAAAATTAGATAATGATTTTATGTAAAGTGGTCTGGAAAAAATATCCCAGGCTAGACCCTTTCAGATTTTCTATGTAACTCCTATTTTTAAAAAAACGTTTGTGACAGACTTAAGTACATAGAAACCAAACATCTATACAAAAGACCCAAAACTGTTTTATATTATAAATAATTTGTCACAAGCTAATAAAATATATGTAATATTGCTGGTATTATGAGCTGGACAAAGCAGACTCTGCTGCCCATGTGATGACTCGAAGCTCCTCACAATGTATGGAGGTTTCAACCCGAAGTCCAACATCCAGAGGGCAGAATGTGTCTGATGAAGAATAAAGCTGTCCAGGATGAAACCTAGAGCATCCAGGAGTACATCAGTAAGATGGCACCTAAAGATGAGCTGTTGAGAGAAGGCCTGAAGCAGACATGGGAGGTAGATCAAGAAGACAAAATGCTACAGCAAGGCAAGACCCTGCATAGAACAGATAACGGATGTGGCAGACATTGAGAAATTCTACCAGTGGTGGAAAGGGCTGGACTAAGATAGCACTGAAGCACAAATCATTGCATGCACTAAGCACCACAGCAGTAGCTTAGCAGGGGGTCTCTCCCACACTAAACAAGTTCTGGTTATTTAGAGATACCCCAGAAATAGGCTAACAGATAATAGCAGGTGCAGCAGAAACAGCATACACTAAATGGCACAATCAAATAGCTAGCACTGTGCACAGGAAATCTGCATATTGTATGAGCTAGACCCTCCCAAGTCCAGATGGAATGAAGACAGAAGGTAATAAAGCCTTCATTTTTATATTACCATCATTAAAGGTGTTACACTTTTTTATGCTAAAGTTTCTCATAAAATTTCTGAATCACATTATCCTTTTAAACATCCACCTAATTATCAATTTATTTTAATTTTTTAAATTTTATTTATTTTAATATATCATTTTTCTTACAATATATATGCATTAGGCAAACCTCCTCTTCCTTTAAAGCATCAAAAATAAACTTGTTCCCATTTCCCACATACTTTTCCATTATAATTTTGATGTCCAATCATTCTAATATTAAAGTGAAGAGAAGAAATCTAGGAATTTGTTAGGATTAAAGCAAAAATCACTGTAAAAGCAAATGTGTACTGAAAGTGAGACTTGCAACAAAGGATCTCTGAACAAAATAAAAGAACAATTTTATATAATAGCTTAAGAACCCACTGTTCACTACAAATGTGCCTCAAACAGTAGCTTGGGACTTCTGAACCGACTCGAGGGATAAAAACATTTTAAAAATGCCCCAAAGTGAGAATTTGCAAGAGAATTAGGAAAAGAGTCAGTGTACTCTTTTTTTGCCTAATAAATCTACAAGTCTTTGTATCTTCCACTTCCCGCCCCTAATCCTATCCTACATTACCACTGAGAGACCCATATGATTTTTCTTATGCAAATTTCTGCTCTCACAACTTACAGATACAATCTTACAATCAGAGTTGGAGGCGACTTTGTAGGTCATCTAGTCCAACCCCCCGCCCAAGTGGGAGACCCTACGCCATTTCTGACAAATGGCAGTCCAATCTCTTCTTGAAAGTCTCAACTTTACAAAATTCTAGCAAAAACTCCACATAAGAACCTGCCCAAAGAGGTGAATGCCCATTCTCCCACATTCTGTCCCATCACAAGTTAAAAATCAGAAAAGCATATTTCAATTTTCTTAACTTTAATGCTTTAGATATTTTAAAATATTTGTTCAGAAATGGTGTTCAGGGCCTTGCAAGTCTCCTATTCCCTTATTTGCTTAATCCTAGTTTGATGTCAGATGTTTAAATGGTCAGTTGATATTACTGAAATGTAAAATGCACCCTTTTCTTATTTTATAGATGGAATGTCACTGGAGGAACTGCTGAGGGCCACAAAGCTTTCATCTGAATATACGCGTTCTCCTTGCAAGTTCAACAGAGCTGTAAAACAGGAGGCCTTCAGTTCTTTGGGGAACCGATCATGACCTTTGATACAAAGTTTACAACAGCACTGGCAGGCTGTTCTGGATCATGCTCTGCAAACAGATGGCAAACGTTATCAGTTGCACTACCTTGTTTCCTTGCAACAAAGCCAAATACTCTGGAAAATGAAAGAAAAAACATGAAAGATGAGGCATGAAATACTGTACTTATTAAACAGTTCAAAATGTTCTGCAAGATAATATTTTCCCCATTGTATTTTAAGAGTTTTTTGGAATTTTTTAAACAGGGTTTCAACAGGAAAAACAATAAGGAACAAGCTTTTCTGGGAAACAGCTTGCTCATCTCTACTAATCTTTCCCTGATCTGCACTGTCTGCATGAGTGTGCACTTAAAATGGACTTTTAATTAACACAAAATAAAATTGAGGCATCAACTTGTATAAGAAATTATTCAAAATACTGCATTAAGCCGATAAGAGTCTTAATGCACGTATTTTGCAATTTTTATTTAAAAACATGAACGTTCTGGAATGTAATCTGGTAATTTTAATTAAACTTCACCTTATTCTGTTTGGTCCAATTATGAAAACACTTCCTGGCCTATTATGTAAGGTCTAGACAAGAAAAAAATGTTGTGTTCTCCTGTCTGACAGCTTAACATCAACGGATTTCTGAACATATGCTTCCTTACCTGAGTATCTTTTCACGTCTACACAACTATCCATTGCTGGTTAATTGTGAACACATTGTTTAATATCTGAATGCTAAAGTAAATGGAATGAGAATAGAGTCTAACACTGAGGCATGCTGATTCCATTGCCCTACTAAGAGATTAGATAAAATAACGTTTTGCAGAGTGTAGCTTCAAGTATCACATATGATATCTGTGATTACTTCACAGGACAACTTGATATGCTCTCCAAATCTTTTAATTATTTAAAAATTTATGTTTATTTACACACACACAAACACACATAATTCCTTTAGAAGGTTCCTGAAGCTCTCATATGCAATGTTATCAAAAAATTACTAGATTCCATACATTCCACAAGTTAATATGGACACATAACAAACAAATATTGTCAGCAGTCAAAGATAAATATGAAAGTCTGCACAGTATTTTTTGCAATTTTGTTTGGTCCTAACATAAGCTTTGCCTGATTGCTTATTGAAGAAAACTTGAAGGGAAACTTGGATATCATCTGTAAGATGCTACGTATTCATAGTTACTTACTTTGCTGACAGACCATCTTTTATCCATCTTATATAAAACAAAAAAGGGAGAAGAAATAAAAAAATATTTTTGTTAGAAGGTTTTTTGGTAGCTTTATGTAACAGTATACAAACAATGAATTGAAAAAGCATTAATCATCCTTACTTTCTGTCTTGTGGATCCAAAGCACAAAAAATAACACTACTGACTGGATAATGCCTTCTGAAAAAAAGTCTGAAAGGAAGGAAGAGAAAATAAAATAGGCCTTAGACCTAAATTTATGACTGGAGATTCTAGAGTGTATTTCAGACTCTTTATGTGGCACTGGAGAAAGGAAATATAAACATTTCTCTTGCCACAATATTATTCTAAAAAAAAAAGAAGCAACTAACAGTGGGAATTGTGTCTAGAGCAGTGGCTACACTGCAAGATGAAAGTAAGATGAAAATATCCCAGTGTAGCTATTAACCTAACATGAGAAGAGATAATAAGAAAAGTTCAGTACCAAATACAGGTTACTGGTGATGACTCTGGCAGAAGAGGCATGCTCTGGATCCTGTCAGCCAAGGATCTGTGGCTAGTGGGGTCTGGAAGATCTTTTTTTTTTTTTTGCCATGGATGAGATCTGCCGTGATCTTCCGAAAGGGTCTGAAAATCTGGCTCTTCCAACTGACTTGGGGTCCTGATGGGGGGTCCCATTCGGGGGGTTGGTTAATAGATTAGACTTAAGATTTCACATTGACCCAATTTACACATTGGTTCTTTTATCAGGTTCACTGTTAATGTTAATGTTTTTAATTTTAATGTTTACAGTTTTAATATTTTTAAATTTTTAATTGTCTACATTGTTATTAATGATACTGCAAGACATGCAAAGCCACAATAATGAGATAGATGGCATAAATAAATATATTACTTATATATAATAAATAAACAAATGTAAATAATCTCATAATATGAATTTAACCTTACTAGATTGCATTGGTGGGAGTATAAGAAAATGGATACATAGTTCTTTTATCTAGCCATCTTTCATATTGAGTCCTGTTATTGTTTTAATGTATTGTCCTTATCTCTCAAAGACTTAAATATGTATTTAATTCAATAAGTACAGAAAATTGTTCCAACCAAATTAAGAAATAGCAAAAAAGCTCTGAGAAGTTTAGTTAACAATAAATATATTCAAATTTATAAGCAATGTTAAATGTTTCTCTTTTGTACAGAGCTCCAAAAGAGTACAATATACACTGCTCAAAAAAATAAAGGGAACACAAAAATAAGACATCTTAGATCTGAATGAATGAAATATTCTTATTAAATACTTTGTTCATTACGTAGTTGAATGTGCTGACAACAAAATCACACAAAAATTATCAATGGAAAGCAAATTTAGCAACCCATGGAGGTCTGGATTTGGAGTTATACTTAAAATTAAAGTGGAAAAAAACACTACAGGCTAATCCAAATTTGATGTAATGTCTTTAAAACAAGTCAAAATGAAGCTCAGTAGTGTGTGTGGCCTCCACGTGCCTGTATGACCTCCCTACAATGCCTGGGCATGCTCCTGATGAGGTGGTGGATGGTCTCCTGAGGGATCTCCTCCCATACCTGGGTTATTGAATAGAGGAGGCAGAGGCACTAAAACTACCCTGTGTTCCTGCAATGTCCACTTTTCTAGTATTGGTGAAGGCACACAACTGAGCAAGAAGCTTCATCGTAGAAACAATACTATTAGGGCTCATTCTGAAGTGACACATTTACATGCATGCAACAGCACTTTCAAAAACTTCAGTTTTCCAAATGAAAAACTTCACAGTATTCCTCTGTGTACAAATATAATTAAGTGCACATTATTATAATTATACAAAGAAATGACCCAAAAAAGCAGAAATGTATTAATTTTAATTAAGCAAACAGCACAACACAGAAAAAACAAATCATAGTACTGGACAGAATTTTGCTTTCTATACTTACTTCCTCTGATTGTCTGTCAGTGTAATACCTTGTGAAGACACTTTGAAATGCACTACAGTAGAGGTGGGAGGAGGCTCTTGAATTAAAGTTAAGGTCAAAGCCTTCTGCACAGCTTGATGACCTGTTAGAGATTCCATTTCAACAGAATTCAGGTAGCAAACGTTGCAGGCTATAAAACAAAGCAAAAGCAAATGATGAACAAAGCTACAAATAGAATAATTTGATCCTGATTAAGAAATTTAATTTCTAAAAATATTGAAGTGGTAATGCAGAAGGAAAGTGAAGGTAAGAATTTCCCCTCAGTTTTTAAAAAAACATTTTGAGAAAAAGTGAAATTTGTGTAATATTCATTTCTATATCACCTTTCTTTAATCTAAGTTCACTTTGCTGTTTATCAAACTTTAAAAATGATAGATAGACAGACAGTCAGTCAGACAATGTACATATTTATGTGATTAGTCATATAATCTTTCTTTAAAAATTTATTAATATTAAAATAAATTTGGGGCAATTAAAACCAGGTTAGATAATAACTGCATTTCTAAATTGAATTCATTTTAAAATACATATTACAAATGGAATTTTAAAATCTATATGATTTTAATGAATCTCAGTATTTTAACCTTAGGAAACAGGCAATAGCAAATCACTTTCAAAACCTTGGCAAGAAAATTGAGGAGTCAACACTGACAATGCAGAGGCATCAAAAAATATTTTTTTTAAGGAAAAAGGAAAAAAATTATAAAATTGAAAGAAAATTAAGTTAAAGACAGAAGGAAGTAATTAATGTAATGATTTGATATATAAATTTAGTCTATATTTCTATTTGCGTAATCAGATAAATATACCTAAATGTTGTCTTTTTTCTATTTTTACCATATTAATGTCACCAATTTCTTCACAACAAAGTATTCATATTTTTTCAGTTTTAATGTTAAAATAGTGTTTTCCTATCTAACGAACTGTTGAGGTTAGATAGGAAAACGCTATTTTAACATTAAAGAAGAAATGCAAATTCTGACACACTATGCTGTTCTCAAGTGACATTAGTGAGTTATTGGCCAGAGAAGGGCAAAAGTATGCCCACTCTCTCCAGACCTGGTCTCTTTCTTTCAGGACCTTCTATGTGGTGCCTATGAAGCTTGAATGAGCTATTAATATAGTCAACTGAAGTTTAATGCACATGAAAAGTTCTTCTGATGACAGCATTAAAAGATTAGAACCTACTTACGAACCTGCTCCTTGTTTCAAAAGCTCTGCAGCTGAATTTACAGCGGTTTGTGTGGAGGCTTCAGAAATCTCATCCAGAGGGTCTACAAACAGAAATTACAGATGTTTTCAAAATGACTTGGATTGAAAACTCAATCCAAGTACAGTTGTTAATAATTTCCATCAGTTTTAAGACCACATATTCCTTATGCTGTATATAACAGTACTGAGAGAGTTGTGAACATGGTGTAATGAGAGGGATTTAAAACACCAATTATTTCTATAGGCTAAGCTCATAACTTGTTATACTTGGCATCAATGAAGGTTATTTTCTAATTATGTTTCCTGTCATCTGCTAACAAGAGTTTGATTCTCACCGGATTAAAGTTGACTCAGCCTTCTGAGGTTGATAAAATGAGGACCCAGATTGTTAGGGGCAGTATGCTGATTCTATAAGCTGCTTAGAGAGGGCTGTAAAGCGCTGTGAAGTAATGTATAAGGCTAAGTGCTACTGCTATCTACATCAACTGTAGCACTATTTTCCTGCTTTCTGTGTACCCTTGTTGGCTCTTAATTTATTTAATCTATTGAATGCTTTTAATAGTTATAGAGATACTATAATAGAATGGAATGGAGTAGAACAGAACAGAATTCTTTATTGGCCAAGTGTGACTGGACACAAGGAATTTGTCTTTGATACATCTCAGTGAACATAAAAGAAAAAATAAAATACATTCATCAAGAAACATAAGATACAACACTTAGTGATAATCATAGGTTACCAATAAGCAATCCAATCGTACCAGGGAACAAATAAACCAATATAAATTGTAGAGATACAAGCAACATGGTTATAGTTATAAGTTGGAAGAGATAAGTAATAAGAAGGGTGAGAAGAATAATAGTAATACAGTCTTACTAAATAGTTTAAGTATTATGGGAATTAGTTTATTTTTATTTATTTATTTATTTATTTTTGTCAATTGTTTACAAGATAATAGGTATAAGTAAAAAAAACATATGTATAATACATGGATACATATAAGTAAAATAAAAAAAATAAAAGAAACAATAGGACAGGGACGGCAGGCACGTTGGTGCGCTTATGCACGCCCCCTACATACCTCTTAGGAAAGGGGTGAGGTCAATAGTAGACAGTCTAAGGTTAAAGTTTTTGGGGTTGGGGGAAGAAACCACAGAGTCAGGTAGAGTATTCCAGACATTGACCACTCTGTTGGTGAAGTTGTATTTCCTGCAATCAAGTTTGGTGCGATTAACCTTGAGTTTGTATCTATTGTTTGCTCTTGTATTGTTATGGTTGAAGCTGAAATATTCATTGACAGGTAGGACATTGCAATGCATGATTTGATATACTATACTTAGATCGGACCGAAGGCGGCATAGTTCTAGTTTTCTAGGTCTAGAATTTCAAGTTTGGTGGCATAAAGTATTCTGCAACAAGTAGAGGAGTAGAGAACTCTTCTTGTGAAATATTTCTGGACTTTCTCAACTGTGTTAATATCAGATATGTAATGTGGGTTCCAGACTGAAGAGCTGTATTCGAGTATTGGTCTAGCAAATGTTTTGTATGCTCTAGTTATTAGTGTAATATTACCAGAGAAAAAGCTATGTAAGATTAGGTTAACAACTCTTAAATCCTTTTTGGCTATGTAGTAACAGTGGGCTTTAGCACTTAGATCATTAGAGATGAATACCCCAAGATCCTTGACAGAGTTTGGATCATCAACAAGGTCTTGACTATTCAGCCTGCATTTTATTTTCTGATTTTTTTTGCCAATTTGTAGGACAGAGCATTTATTTGTTGAGATTTGAAGTTGCCTTTTGTTTGACCATTCTGATATACAGTCAAAGTCTTTTTGAAGAGTAGCAGTATTGTCTGTGGTGTTGAATAGTTTTACATCATCAGCGAAGAGAACACAGTTGCTCTTAATATGATCACAGAGGTCATTTAGGTAGAGTATGGAAAGAGTTGGTCCTAGAACATTGCCTTGGGGCAATGTTGACAGGTACAGAATTTGATAGGACGCTCCCAATTTTGACCATTTGTTGTCTGTTTGACAGGAATACTTCTATCCAGTTATGCAGGTGTCCAGAGATACTGTAAAATTTTAGTTTTAAGAGTAGTTTGTCGTGTACCACTGAATCAAATCAGAAGTCTATGTAGATTGCGTCTATTGCTTTGCCCTGATCGAGTTGTGTAGCCCAGATGTTTTTGCAGTGAAAGAGTTGCAGATTGCAGGATAGTTTGTTCCTGAAACCAAATTGTTTATTAGAGAGTAGGTTGTTTGTGTCTAAGTGGAAGATAATGGATTGATTAATAATTGATTCCATGACTTTACAGGTGACACAGCATAGAGTTTGGTCTGTAATTTTCAACTAGGCTGGGGTCTCCGTTTTTGAAGATGGGGATGACCATGGTTTGTGACCATAGTTTTGGCAAGAAGCTGGTTCTGAAAGATTTTTCAAAAATTATACTTAGAGGTTCAGCTATGGCAGTGGATAGCTTTTTTAAGAAGTAGGCACATATTCTGTCCAGTCCAATAGATAGAGATGGTTTTAGATTGCATAGTGCTTTTTCAACATTGTCTTCTATAAAATTGATATGTATTAGATCATTGTAGTTGTCTGTGGTCCAACTAGGAAATACTGGGCATGATCCATTGCTGTTTACAAATACTGAACCAAAGAAGGTGTTAAAGAGGTTGGCTTTAATAGTGTCGTCGTTGCAGTCTTTACCATTAGGTCCTTTCAGGGGTGGGATCTGGACCTTCAGTCTTTTAGTTTGTTGTTTACAAAACTGTAGAAAGCGTGGGTGGAATTGGTGTGTAGAAGGTTTTCCTCTTGTTTAACATGATAACTGGTGCATTCAGTCTTTATCTGGTGGCATAAATTTTTGTATCAGCTTTTGAAGCTGGCAACGTGACCAGATTTGTTTTTCCGCAAAAGTGATTTCTTTTTGGATTGAAGCTTCCTTATTGTTATGGGTAATTTGTTTTTTCTGGTTTTGGGAGTTGTTATTGGTACATGTAGTTTGATGACTCTTTTGACTTCAAGTAAATATATGTTGTTATGGTCTTCTACAGTATTGCATCCAGTGAATAGAAATTGCCAATCAAGAGATGAGAAATCATTGTTTATAAGATCATAGTTGCCTTTTTTGAAGTTATAATTGGGAATTCCGTCGTTGTGATTATTTTTGCGTGGGCATATCTTGAGACAAAAGTCAATCATGTTGTGGTCACTGTTGGAAAAGGGTTCTTTAATTTGTATTCTGTAAATTGAATTCAAACTATTGCAGAAGATGAGATCGAGGCAGTTGTTAAGTCTAGTGTTGTTGGTTACTAGTTGTTCTAGTCCCAAATTTGTTACTGCATTGTAGAAGGTTGCATGTGTGGGTTCAGTTGCACATTCGTTAAGGGTCTAGTTAATATGAGGAAGATTGAAGTCACCAAGAAAGATAACAGCGTGTGGGCAGGATACTGCCCATGTTAGTAATGTATTTAGCTTGTTTGCATGTTCAATGTCATAATCAGGGGCTCTGTAACATAGTAAGAACCGAAATGTGATATTTAAGGACAGTTCAAAGACAATGGTCATCAGGAATAGCAAGCTCCTGGGTAACTTGGATATTTTTAGATGTAGGGACTTTTTATAGAAGATAGCAACACCACCTCCTCTACGGATTTCACGATCTGATTAATAAACATGATAGTCTATTACTGTGGCAATGGAGTCAGGGAGAGGTGCGTTGAGCCATGTTTCACAGACAAACATAATGTCAAATTTAGCCATATTTAGTAAGAGGAGAAATTCAGGTATTTTATTTACAAGGCTTCTTGCATTGAGTAGCTTCAAATAGAGGTAGTTATGAGCATGGTTTCCTAGTTTTGAGTGATGTTAGATTGGATGGGGTGGGGTTGGATGCGGAGTTGTGGGTTATGTGACCTTCTTTTGATGTAATCAGCACTGCAGTTAATGTATAGGTTCTTTTCTCCATTGTCTAGATAGTTTTTGAGGTCTGCGTGCAGTTCACTGGAGCGGATTCTTTGCAGTATGGATAAGTCTGGTCTTGAGCAAAGTTTTTTGTGGTTGGGATTGGTTTTTGCAATGACGTTTATTGTATAAATGAATATGTATTTTGCTGGACTCATTTTTGCATACAACTCTACAAAATCTTGGGACCACAGTGCCATCATTGTATTTGAACTCAACTCTCTGGTTATTTCAATAATATCTTCAGGAGAGATGTTTGTTGTATTTGAGTTGCTTATGACATTACAAACTTTGGTGATGTCATCTGATTCATTGGTGTCTTCGAGACCAAATGAGATGGCATTTGGACGTTTCTGTTCACGCTCCATGATGTCTTTGATAAGTAAGGGAATATTATTTGTGGAATTATTTGATGGGATAGTAATTGTTTGAGGCTATGGTTATTTTGGGTTGTAGTTGTGATTGTAGTTGAGGTAGTGGTTGTGGTCGTTGTGGGATCTGATTTTAAGCTGATAGCTACAAGAGAGATTAGGCTTACTTGTATAGTTGTTTCAAAACATGTTGCTAAGTGTTCTTCTATTGAGTGAATGAATGATTTTATGCTTTCAACTCTGTCAGGTAGGGTACTCAGTTTGTTTAGCTTTGGAGAACATGATGGACATAGATAAAAGAATGTATCTGAATTTTTAACCATATCAGCTAGGCTTTTATTTGCATTTAAGCAGGCAGGGTGGGCTAGATTGTCGTATACGTGACATTTGATGTAAATTTCGCTTTCATTGATGGTTTCAAGACATCTGAAATCTGTGCAGGAGTCTGGGAGGACATTGGTAGATATATTTTTGTTTTGGTTTGGAGTTTTTGGCTGGCATAGTCAATGGCAACACTAATCAATTACAATAGCTAGTTAATGTGGTAGACAGTTACTTAATGAATGTTGGTAATTAATAAATGTTAGTTGATGTTAGAGAAGAAATCAAAAGTAAGGTTACTTATTACTAAAAATCAATCAATCAATCAATCAATCAATTATTCAAATCACTCTAATCAAACAATTTTGCTAAGCAACAAACAGCCTAATTAATTACATTAATCACTAAACACACTGGTCAATTAAATTCACTAAATCACTGATTTTACTAATCAGATATTCGGTAATCACACTATATGCACTAAACACTCAATCACACTAATCAATAAAAACAATAAATCAATTAATCATTTGATAAAAATTAGCAGAGTGTTTAGCAGAGTGATCACATCCAGGGAAAAACTGTCCTTGTGCCTAGTTGTTCTGGTGTGCAATACCCTATAGCGTCATTTTATTGTGCTTTACATTATTGATGGTGAAAAAAAGCTCCTAAATAAAATAAATAATAATTACCATGTGCCAAAATGATGTTACTCAAACTATTTAATTGAACATCAGATGTGCAATGAGAAATCACAATGTTATAAAACATCATGTTGAATCTCATATTTATTAAATACAACCATTGTTGATTCACTATTAGCTACAATGAAGCTGTTCTGAAAGACTATTAACAGCGTGTGTTAATATAACTATTATATATATTATCTCATATTTATATTTTAAATTATATGTTTAAATTATATAAATATAACTATTATATTGATGTATTTATTCTCATTATTTCTTTGCCATTGTTTATTTTATTCTTCTGTTGTTTTACTTCTGTACTGTTTACATGCCTTTTATTTTTTCTTCCTTTTTATTTTAAGCTGCCTTGAGTAGCCTCACTGTGAGATATGCAACAAAATAACAACAACATTATCTGAATATCCTGACTTTGTAAAAAAACATCTTACTCGGAACTCCCTATATAATCAGATGTTAACTTAATAGCTCTTAGGTCCTTGGTTAAGGCTTAGTTCAAGTTCAAGTTTTCACCAGTCCCAGACTGTGAATCAAATTGAAGATAATAATAATACATCAAGAAGTTGCAGCTTCCTGCTATAGTGCCAGCGGAGCTGCAAAAGACTGCGCTACTCGGAACAACATACATTTTAAGAAGATATGCCTCTTCCTGCCAAGATAGCACCAACAACTGCAACCTTGGTGAAATGTTCTCTGATAGTTTTTCTGTTTTTTATTATTCTCTGTGCTTATCTACGGATTTCTTACTCAAGAGACTAACTACTAAGCATCAAGCAATGTTTCTTTGATGGGCAACTATCTGTGACTTCACCACCACCCCCCACCCCGGTCTTTACAAATGCAAAAGAGTTTCCAATACAGGAAGCTCTGAACAATTGTTCCTCTGAACAATGAATAAACCAAACAAATGGAGACGAAAAAGCCGAGCGAGCAGGAATTTTGAATAGACTAAGGAAAAGTGGGATAAAAATTCCTCTCCCTTCACTCTTTCTAACTAATTTACGTTCACTGGCTAATAAGATGGATGAAATACTTCTTTTAAATAGATGCAATTCTGATTTTTACAACAGCAGTTCTCTACTTCACTGAAACCTGGCTAAATAAACAACAGACAGAACAGAAGAAACATCTGGTAAAAAGAAGAGAGGAGGTTTATGTTTATATATTAACAGCCGCTGATCCAGAAATATAACTATAATAAAGAAATTCTGTGAGACATTAATTGCAAACCATTCTATTCTCCATGAGAGTTCTCCTCATTTCTCCTTATTGCTGTGTATGTTTCTCCACAAGCTTGTATAAACAATGCATTCCGAACTCTAGCTGATCAGATTATGTGGGCTGAAGTTAAATACCCAGATTCATTTCAAGTTATTTTAGGAGATTTCAATGAAGCAAACCTAAGGAAAGAGCTACCAAAATATTTTCAGCAAATCAATTGTCTCACTAGGCAATAATACTATAGATCATTGCTAGACAACATTAAAAGATGCTTATCGATCTTTACCATGAGCAGCTGTGGGACACTCTGATCATTGTATGATTAACCTTGTACCAGCTTACAGACAAAGACTTAAAACCATGAAACCAACAATTAAATCAGTGAAGACTTGGACTGAGGAGGCAAAGTTAAAGCTTCAGGCTTGCCTTGACTGCATTGATTGGAATGTATTCGAAGACACTCTGCAGACTTGAATGAACTCACAGATACCGTAACATCATATGAGAGCTAGGTGTGCCAACCAGAAACCTGAGAATATTCAGTAACAATAAACCTTGCTTCACAGCTAAACTTAAGCAGTTACACTGTACTAAAGAGGAAGCCTACAGAAAAGGCAATACAATACTGTACAATCAGGACAGAAACATATTAATTAGGGAGATCAGAGGAGCAAAAAGAAGCTAAGGAATTAGTTCTCAACAAATGAACCAGCAAACATGTGGAAAACTCTTTAAAATATCACTGGTTACACCAAGCCTCCTTTCCATGCTGAAGGAAATCAACATCTGGCAGAATACTATTGCCATCCATCTCCACAATCCCCATCTCAGACCTACCAACAACAGCCAAGCCTCCTACAACCTACCCCATCCTGTTGGGTCCACCACCTCTGGTGATTACAGAGATGAGATGCAAGGTCTATTTCACAGACAAAAGCCAGGAAAAGCACCAGGCCCAAACAAGATAACTCTTTCATGCTTAAAAGCTTGTGCTGATCAACTGGCGCCCATCTTCATCAGCATCTTTAATAAATCACTAGAGATGTGCTATGTTCCTTCTTGCTTCAAATGCTCTACTATCATCCCAGTGCCGAAGAAACCTTCAATCAAGGAACTTAATGATTTCAGACCAGTTGTTCTAATATCTGTAGTTATGAAGACCTTTGAAAGGCTAGTGCTGGCCCACCTGAAAACCCTCACGGATCCGCTGTTAGACTCCTTGCAATTTGCCTACCGAGCAAATAGATTGACAGATGATGCTGTTAATATGACTCTGCACTACATCTTGAATCTCTAAAGACCTATGCAAGAGTCCTCTTTGTAAATTTCAGCTCAGCATTCAATACCATCATTCCAGATATTCTTCTAACTAAACTAAATCAGCTAGTGTACCTGACCACACTTGTAAATGGATCATAAGCTTCCTAACAGGCAGGAAGCAGCAGGTGAAGATAGGCAGAATCACATCAGATACCTGTATAATTAGCACAAGAGCCCCCCGAGACTATGTGCTCTCTCCATTTCTCTTCTCTCTCTATAGCAATGACTGCATCTCAAAAGATCCCTCTGTTAAAAGTACTGAAGTTTGCAGATGATATAACAGTGATTGGTTTCATTCGAGACAATGATGAATCTGCATACGGACGGGAGATTGAACAACTAGCCCTGTGGTGCAACCAGAAACAATCTTAAACTGAATACACTCAAAACCGTAGAAATGGTGGTAGGTTTTAGGAGAAACCCTCCTATACAATCACGTCTTACAATACTAGATCACACAGTATTAACAGTAGAGACCTTCAAGTTCCTAGGTTCTATCATATCTCAAGACTTAAAATGGACATCTAATATCAAAAACGGGCAACAAAGAATGTTCTTTCTGCGCCAACTCAGAAAGTTCAAACTGCCCAAAGAGCTGCTGATTCAATTCTACAGAGGAATTATTGAGTCTGTCATCTGCACCTCTATAATGGTCTGGTTTGGGTCTGCAACCAAACAAGACAGATACAGACTTCAACAGATAATTAGAACTGCAGAAAAAAATAATTGCTACCAACCTGCCTTCCATTGAGGACCTGTATACTGCACGAGTCAAAAAGAGGGCTGTGAAGATATCTACAGACCCCTCGCATTCTGGACATAAATTGTTTCAACTTCTATCCTCAAAATGACGCTATAGGGCACTGCAGACCAGAATAACTAGACACAAGGACAGGTTTTTTTTCCGAATGCCATCACTCTGCTAAACAAGTCTCACAACAGTGTCAACTTATTTACTAAGACTGTATTACTATTATTCCCCTACTACTAGATTATAACACTTCCTAATACCTATCTCTTCCACTTATGACTATAACCGTGTTGCTTGTATCTTTACAACTTATATTCTTTTATTAGTTTCCTAATATGATTTGATTGCTTATTAGTAACCTAGGACTATCACTAAGTGTTGTATCATATGATTCCTGATGAATCTATTTTATTTTTTCTTTTATGTACACTGAGAGTATATGCACCAAAGACAAATTCCTTATGACCAATCATACTTGGCCAATAAAGAATTCTATTGTATTCTATTGTATTTATATTCCTAGGATGCTGGCAGCAACCCGTATCAATCATCAGAGCCAGTCAATGATACATTTTTAAATGTTCAGTTGACTGAGTTTCATGTTTAATGAATAAAAGATGATGATGATGATGATGATGATGATGATTATTATTATTAATCAGTTGACCGAGTTTCATGTGTAATAAATAAAAGTTTATAATAAAAACAGTAATACCTTGGTCTGGGATGAGTAGCTTGCAAGGCAATGCCAGAGGGGTAATGGAATGTTGATACACCAAAGCTGTCAAACTTCCTGTAATTACAAACAAAAAAAAACCCATAAAGTAAATCTTTTTACTGGATAAAATATACATGCAGTTTTTGTAAGTTATGTATGTATTTTAACTTTTATATTCTGTATTTCTTATTACAGAATCACAATGTTTTCAGATAGTCAATACAGGAACAGGTAGGCCAAACAAGAGAGCAACAGGTGTACGAGCAACACCTAAAGATGCACCTCCCCATTGATAGGGATAATATTGGGAGAAATTATATTTTTTAGTATTCTCCCTATGCAAAGAACTAGTTATTACACGAGGCTGCAATTTTTTTTCTATTGTACTATGGGTACAATATTTTTCTCTTGCGTAAGAAGAGGTTATGCAAGGAGTTAAAATTATACTGGATCATCTTTTGTCCAATAATACTGGCCAATTATCATATCCAGCTGATTCTGCTTCACATTTTTTGAATATTTATTTCTATATGAAATAACATCTATGTATAGGTTTATAAGACTTCCATATTTGGAGTTGCCCATCCATTAGATGTTGGCTGCAGAAATGTTCAGTCAAGAGATTTAAAAAACCCTCATACTATCGACTATACTATACTGCAGTACTCCAAACAGACCCGGTTCACAATTTGAGGATTCTCCTGGACTTGCAATTTCTGCTCGAAGAGCAGGGTGAAAGTTGCAGCTAGGAGAATCTTTGCACAACTTTAAGTTCTTTATCCATTGTGGCTTTTTCCAGATTAGGAGTCCCTGTACTCAGTCATTCAAGCTCTGATCATCTCATGTCTGAATTACTGCAATGCGCTCTACATGGGGATACATTAAAGAACATTCCAAAGCTATAAATGCTGCAGAGTGTGCCAGCTCTAGGGAAAGCTTCTGGGCCCCACAGAATGGCCCATATTTCTTCACTGTTTTGTCAGCTGCACTGGCTGCCAGTTTGTTCTGGATGCAATTCAAGATTATTACCTTTAAAGCCTTACATGGCACAGGTCCAGACCACCTGAGAAACTGTTTCACCCACTGGGGCTGGCCTGCCTCACTTGTCCTAGCAGAGCAAGTATAATGTGGACTCTCTGTCAGTAAGATAATTTTGACTGGTGGGGCTTCTCTGCTGTGGCTCCAGCTCTCTGGAACATCTTGCCATGTGAGGCGAGATTGGTTCCCACATTCCTGACTACCCTGAAGACTTGGCTCTGCTAGTTGGCTTGGAGCCCCAATTGAGCAGTATCACACTGGAGATGGTTAACAGACTAATAGCAGAGTCCACCTCCCTCTTCTGTACATTCTGCTCCCTTCCTTCCCATCTTTTAGTTTAACCTGCATTTTTACTAACACACACACACACACACACACACAGAGCCATAGTGAGATGGGTAGCAAAATTTAATAATAAATAAGGAAATAAGTTATCCCCACCAAAATTTATCATATCCATCAGTACTTGCATATTTTCAGTGATTTGCATGGATTATTTGTTTTATAAGGGATCACACACATAGCCACCAAAACTCTTCTAGCCACATTCAATTGAAATAAAAGTAATTAAATGGTGCCTCTATCTCCACAAAATAGGAGACATCAACAGAACAAACAGAAAAAAACATTATATAGTATCCCAAATAATTATTGGAGTTTGAAATTGGAGTACTGGAGGTAAGATAATATGTCCTATAAATTTGGAATCATCCTTTCATCAGACAAAGTATGTACTACTTTCTCCATCACAAAAGTAAAAATCTAGTCTGTTAAAGTAGAACATTTTTAATCTATATCTATATTTTGGAACATTAAGAACAGAACAAATTTGATATTGTATACTTTATGTTTGTTTGTTTTTTTTAAAAGGAAGCAAACTAAAACAAAACAAAAACCATCTAGAAATCGTAACATTTCACTCCCATTTTAGGAAGTGTTTCCTTTTCTTCCAGTAGGACTTTACTTTTATAAGGCTGTAGGAACTTCCCTAGAACAATTATAGGAAATGAATGCAAAATGTAAACAAGAGAGACAAAATATCAGAAAAAGAACGAAGTATAAAAGAGATTAGAGAGAATATATAAAAAAGCTACAAACAAAATCTCAAGCTTCAAAGTATTCAAGTCATTAATTCATTTATTATGAAATAATATAAATTTACCACAGTGCAAATAAAAATTATCAGTGTCCCCCAGAAATTAAAATAAAATAAAAAATAAAATATGTAAGCTTTGCCCACAAAGATTAGCAATAGTTCTTGTTTTAGGGAATAATTGTGTTGTTCATTTTATAGAAAAATACTTCCCATGTTTTATAATATTTAATGAAATATATATGAATAATATGATACAAAGAATGCTTACCAAAATATGGCTCATTGGGACATCCTTTCAATCTCACTCCTTTCTGGGTACACTCAATCAGAAAATGTCTCACAAGTTCATTGGAAGTATCTCCAACTATGGCATACAATGATAGTAAATGAAAGGTTAAGAAATGTATTCTTACAGACAAGCATTACAATTCAGATTAATTTCATTGCACATTACACAAGTTAAGGGGTAGCATAAAATCATTGTAACCACAATTTACAAAAAATTGTTTAATGACTCATGATAACTTAAAATGGCTGAATTCATAATGTTAGGCCTTTATTTAAAACAATCTAGAAGACAGCTAACAGTTATAGTTTACTGATTTATTTTCTTGCTATTCAGTGATTGCTTAGATACTTGCAATTCAATTTTAGTGTACCTAACAGAAGTAAAATATAAAGCTTAGAAATATTGACCGTTTATTTATTTTGATGTCTGAAATTTCTTTGAAAGAATCTATCAAAGCTTGGCTCAGAGCTTTCTTTCTTTTTGCATTTTTGAGGGGGAGGGTGAGGGTAACCCAGATGGTCAAGGCTGATGGAAAGTTGGGAAGGAAAGTTGTGATTAACATTGTTGGCATACTTCTGTAAATAACCAAATTACAGAGACATTCTGCTGATCCCATTATATAAGCAATGTGTAATTTTGTTAAGAACCACTGTTTTCCACCCAAACAAGAATGAGAAAACTTTGGACTGGTCAATCTACAATCCCAGGATGAAAAATAATCTGAGATGTATTAACAGTCTCTCAATAATGTTCACAACAACAGAGATAACATTTTTATTTATTTTTTCCTAAGTAGGTTATTTGTTTAATCAATTAAATTAAAATACAGTATATAGAGTTATAGCAGTAACGGACCCTGCCTATTACTGATGGAAGCCGGGATGATTGTTAAATGAACAGCCTCATGAACAACTGCTCTACTCCTGCTCTCTCAATGCGTTCATTAAATAAGTGCATAGGTCATTAAGTGGAACGTGGGGTGCCTCAGACTCTAGGAGGCCTATTTCAGGCATATATTGACCTGCATTGAGCCTCACAAGGTTTCTCCACACCCCGAGATATCTCATGCTTTGCTTCCTGCCCCTTGGGAGTCTCATAGCCCAAATGCCTCTGTCCTACCCAACTTGTTACAATCATACATATACTTTTCAAAGATTCTCAGAGCTCAAGTCAGGGAAGGAGGAAAGGCTGCTGTTTTTAGCCATGTGCCATAATCGAGAAGAAAACCTGATGTTTTTTCTTTCATCGCTATCCTTAGCTTTCTCAGCATCAGCTCTGCTAGCTTTCCAATTATGCTGAGGAGCTAAAGCTAGTGCTAATGAAGAGGGGGAAAAATCTTGACCTTTTTTTTTTTTCCTATGGAGCTAAGTCTAGAGATTAAAGCAAAATCAGGATATTTTTACCTCCTCACTATCTCTAGCTTTGGCTCCACCAGCAATGGAGCAGACTTTCCTCCTTCCCTATCCTGTGCTCTGCATATCTTCAAAAAGTAAATGACCCAGAGGGGATCAGGATGTGGCTAGGGTGACCTGGAGGTGGATTCGGGTGTGTGGAACTCTCCTGTGGCAGTTGCACTGGTAAAGCAGGCCCACTGCCTGTGGGGACCCAGGATGCGGTGTAGAAACAGATTGTGGGTACCCTGTGGTTGATCTTAAGGGTGAATTACTTTGGGGGGCACCGCAGGCATCTTAACTTTGAAACAAGATCACATGTAGCTTTTGGGGAGATTTGCTGTGACTTTGAACAATTGTTAAATGACCTTTTGTACTTCAAGGACTACATGAATTTCTTTATGGCGACTGGACCATGACTCTTTCTCTTGACTATAACAATAGCAATAGCACATACTTATATACCACTCCATAATGCAGCCTTCTCTAAGTGGTTTATAGAGTCAGCATATTGCTCCCAACAATCTGGGTTCTCATTTTTCTCAGAAGAATGGAAGGCTGAGTCAACTTTGAGCCCATCAAGATGTAAGTCCTGATTGTGGATAGTTAGCCTGCAATACTGCATTGTAATCACTGTGCCAACATGGCTCCTCAGCTCTGCTTAGCTTATATTGATAATTTGAAGTACTTATTTGAAAATAACTATCCTAAAATTCTAGCATTATATGTCCAGTCTTGATTACACAAATATTAAATGTTGTCTACCTTCCTTGAAATAACTGCACATTTATTTCATTCCAAAATCCAAATTATTCCAAGTTCTCTCAACTTCTCACAACTTTACCTAAGATTCCTAGTAACTATTATATTCTAACACCAAATCCTACTTCCCAGGGAAGAATCTTCCTTGATCTGTTTGTCATATAATCAATCCAAAAATCTCAGTTTTTTTTCCTGTTAATTTTTCATTAGACGTGCTTTATCCCTGGCACCTCATCAAATGAACTCTGTAACTGGATCCAGATGTAGTATGTTTGGGCTGGTTGCAAGTTGCTGGATGCTTCAGCTACATAACTGGAAAGTACATTTTCTATGCACGTTTTTCCAAATTTACATACACGTTTTCCAAATAAGAAACTAACCTTCATGCAGTATGATCAATTAAGAGGTTTTGTTATTTTTTAACTAAATTGTTTTGGCATCCATACTGCATAATAATGCTTCTGTTTTGTCAATTCATAGTTTAATGGCAAATGCGTAAGTATTAACAGAGCTTCTTTAGTGTAGTGAATAAGGCCCAAGGCTAGAAACTGGAAGACAGTAAATTTTAGTTTTCTCTTAGACATGAACCCAGAGTAACTTTGGGCAGTCATTCTCTCAGTTCTAGAAAATAGACAATGGCATACAACTTCTGAAAAAAAATCTTGCCAAAAAACCTGGGACTTTTCCAGCCTGGACTTGTTGAGATAGTTGCCTGGAGTCAAAAACTGACATGAAGATACATATATGCTTACCTATAAAGAATGCTTTGTTTTTAGTTTAGTTTAGTTTACTTTAGCGTCATTGCACCTCATACAACTAAATCAAGCACCATCTTCAGTGCACATCATTTATTTATTTTTTATTTATTTTATTTGGTTTGTCAATTACTTACAAGATAATAGGTATAAGTAAAAACATAGTTATGAATACATGGATACATATAAGAAAAATAAAAGAAACAATAGGACAGGGATAGGCATACTGGTGCACTTATGCATGACCCCTACAGACCTCTTAGGAAAGGGGTGAGGTCAACAGTAGAAAGTCTAAGGTTAAAGTTTTTGGGGTTGGGGGAAGAAACCACAGAGTCAGGTAGAGTATTCCAGACATTGACCACTCTATTGCTGAAGTCGTATTTCCTGCAATCAAGTTTGGTGCGATTAACCTTGAGTTTGTATCTATTGTTTCCTCTTGTATTGTTATGGTTGAAGCTGAAGTATTCATTGACAGGTAGGACATTGCAATGCATGATTTGATATACTATACTTAGATCGGACCGAAGGCGGCGTAGTTCTAGGTTGTCTAGGTCTAAAATTTCAAGTCTGGTGGCATAAGGTATTCTGCAACGAGTAGAGGAATGGAAAACTCTTCTTGTGAAATACTTCTAGACTTTCTCAACTGTGTTAATATCAGATACGTAATGTGGGTTCCAGACTGATGAGCTGTATTCGAATACTGGTCTAGCAAATGTTTTGTATGCTCTAGTTATTAGTGTGATATTACCAGAGAAAAAGCTACATAAGATTAGGTTAACAACTGTTAATGCCTTTTTGGCTATGTAGTTAGAGCGGGCTCTAGCACTTAGATCATTAGAGATGAGTACTCCAAGATCGTTGACAGAGTTTGGATCATTAACAAGGTCTTAACACTTCCAGTTTTGACCATTTGTTGTCTGTTTGACAGGAATGCTTCTATCCAATTATGCAGGTGTCCAGAGATACCATAAGATTTTAGTTTTAGGAGTAGTTTGTCATGTACCACTGAATCAAAGGCTTTACAGAAGTCTATGTAGATTGCGTCTCTTGCTTTGCCCTGATCGAGTTGTGTAGTCCAGATGTTTTTGCAGTGTAAGAGTTGCAGATTACATGATAGTTTTATTCCTGAAACAAAATTGTTTATTAGAGAGTAGGTTGTCTGTCTCTAAGTGGAGGATAATGGATTGATTAATAATTGATTCCATGACTTTACCGGTGACGCAGCATAAAGATATTGGTCTGTAATTTTCAACTAGGCTGGGGTCTCCCTTTTTGAAGATGGGGATGACTGTGGTTTGTGACCATAGTTTTGGCAAGAAGCTGGTCTTGAAAGATTTTTCAAAAATTATGCTTAGAGGTTCCGCTATGGAATAGCATTTTTAAGAAGTAGGCACATATTCCGTCCGGTCCAACAGAGATGGTTTTAGATTGCATAGTGCTTTTTCAACATTGTCTACTGTAAAATCAATATGTATTAGACCATTGTAGTTGTCTGTGGTTCAACTAGGTAATACTGGGCATGTTTACAAATACTGAGCCAAAGAATGTGTTAAAGAGGATGGCTTTAATAGTGTCGTCGTTGCAGTCTTTACCATTAGGTCCTTTCAGGGGTGGAATGGACCTTGAGTCTTTTAGTTTGTTGTTTACAAAATTGTAGAAAGCACAGGTGGAACTGGTGCGTAGAAGCTTTTCCTCTTGTTTAATGTGATAATTGGTGCGTTCAGTCTTTATCTGGTGGCATACATTTTTGTATCAGCTTTTGAAGTTGGCAACGTGACCAGGTTTGTTTTTCCGCCAAAGTGATCTCTTTTTGGATTGAATCATGACCACGACCATGAAAAAAAACACTAACAGACATCCTTCACCCTTCACACATTCAACCGGAAACCCCCAACACCACACCAACACTGCACTATACAGCAGAATTCAAAAGAGCTACTGACCTGGGATAGAAGCCGTTTTTCAGCCTATTTGTCCTTGTTTTGTATTATTATTCTGTACCGTCTGCCAGATGGTAATAGTTCAAAAAAAGGGTTCCCAGGATGAGATGGATCTTTGAGAATGTTTTGAACTTTTTTAAGGCAGCGGGAACTATAAAGCTCTTCCAAAGCAGGAAGAGGGCAACCAATAATCTTCTGGGCAATGACGTTACCCCTCTGGGGTGCTTAATTAATCTGTAACCGAAAACTTATTCATGCACCCATGCACACACACAAACACATACATATATATAGTGATTTTTAAAAGTTTGTAAGCCCTTTAGAATTTTCAATGGTTCTGCATTAATATGAACTAAAGTCTGATCCATGGAGTTTTAAAATATTAAGGATAAATGTCTTTAACCTCTTTGAGGGAAGGAGTTACCTTTTTTGTTTAACTGTAATATTGAAGGAGGAGGTATAGCAACCTTCATGGCCAAACCATAGGCACCTCTGAAGGAATGACTGTCACGGACAATGAATGATCCAGCTTCTTTATTCTTCAGGACAGCAATAGCTGCATGACAAAAAGAAAGAGATTAGAAGGACTTTCATTATTAAAAAAAAATCTGCATTAGCAACTAGGAAAAAAGTTGCACAGAATTACCGTATTTATCGGCGTATAACACGCACAGGCGTATAACACGCATTCCCTTTAAGAGGGAAATTTCAGGAAAAAAATATGCGGCGGGCGCAGCGCTGACATCACGTCATGACGCTGCGCCGCCGCTAGGCACTATTGGGAACGGGATCCCTTAAAGAGGATTCCGCTCCCTGGACATCGGCGTATAACACGCATACATCATTTGCCCCCTATTTTCAGGGGGAAAAAGTGCGTGTTATACGCCGATAAATACGGTATATTTCTTTTCTATAGGCAAACACAACCTAGGGAAGAACTATCAGTACTGTTTTGGCTAATAGTTATGATTAAAATGAATTATGAAATTTTGCTCACATGAACTACAAATATACACCAGAAAAGCCCCCCTTTTTAATCTTCAGAAACTATTTTCTAGAAATATTCTGGAATCAATTATATTCCAATAAATCTAACAGAATAACAGATCTTTTAATGAGGCCTTTTAATACAATCCCATGCTCAAGCAGGAGATCCCATACCTTTCCAGACAAATAGCTATCCAGTCTCTTCTGGAAAACATCTGGTGATGAGGCACTCACAACTTCTGAAGGCAAGCTATTCCACTGATTAATTATTGTTGCTGTCAAGAAATTTCTTAATTCATGGTGACCAAAACTGGATGCATTATTACAATTATGGTCTCACCAATACAATAAAACACAGCATGTATGACCTTTATACTACCTCTCTGTTGATAGAGCCTAGAAATCCGCTGACTTTTTTGGTAGCTGCAGAATCTTGCTGGCTCATAGTTAAGTGGTTGTCTTTAGGACGCTTGCATCCTATTCACTCATTACTACTGAACAGATACTATCTATTCTACACTTGTATTTAGTTTTTCTTACCTAAGCATGCACAATATTTTTACCATCAAACTGTATTTTATTGGATAAGACCTAATGTTCGTCTTCTTCTGAAGTATTGACTATTCCCGAGTTTAGTGTTGTCTACAAATTTAACGAGTTCCCCTTTATCTCCTCATGTAAAATATTTATGAAGTTGTTGAAGAATATTGGATCTAAGACATAATCTTCAGGTACCCACTGTATACTTCCCTCCATGTAATGCAATTCCATTAAGGATTACATTTTGAATGTGATTGGTCAGCCAGTTACAAATTCATTTGGTCATGATCTGTTTAGTCCAAATTTTTCTTTCTTACCAAGTAGCATATTGTGGTCTACTTTGTCAAGGATCTTACTAATGTCCAAGTACATTATGTCTAGAGCATTTTGCTGATCCACTAATTTAAGATTGCTATATCGAAATGTAAATATCTGAATAGGTCAAGAGCAGTGTTGGGATTCAACCAGTGTTACTACCAATTGGGTGATTACGTTTGGACCATAACAACATCTGGGAAAGGAACCTACCATTACCAGTATTTGTCATTGCAGTAGTCAAAAATACTGAATATGTCAGGCCTAGCTATCAAATATCCTAAAAAAATTTCAGGCTATCACATCTCCTTCAAATGGATGATCAGAAGTTTACAGGGAAAACAGCAACTGAAATAGAATTACTGCTCAACATTATACAATACACATATTCAGCCAAGATATTGCAATGGAGTTAATACCTAAATTCTATATGAAGAAGATCACTACACATACAACCATCTCTCGGGCTAACAACATCAAGCACACTGAAGTCAAGAAAGTTAGTAGTGAACTACATCATGAGAATAACATTTTGAAGGCCAAACTCAGTGGTAAAAATACCATCAAGGCAATTAACTCCTGGGCAATTCCTATCATTCAGCTAGAATAGTGCACTCAGGTTTGAATTAGAAACCATGGATAGGAAGACCAAAAATGACAATGAATTATGTCCTTCATGCAGAGTGATGTTAACACACACTCAACTTACTAAAAAGAATAGGTGGGCATGGGATGTTGCAAGTACATCAGACTGTTGAAGATGAAAAAAAAAATGGATTAGAAGAATATCTGAAGAACAGCAAAGAAAATGTGCTGAAGCTAGTATACCATAAAGGCTTATTGAATATTGAAGAGACCAAATAGGCTTATAGAAAAACCAAATAAAGAACAGAAGAGAGATACATGGACATCTTTAAATCTTTAAATTATAAGTATTTGCTGCTGACTTGGTATTCATTATGGAAGACCCAGAATCAACAGGCCCGAAATGATTAGAATTGCTTGAGGAATATGGTGAAGTAACTGGCTTAAAAATAAATAAAGATAAGACGAAAACGATAGTTAATAACATGACTAACAAACAGAAAGAAACCCCGACTATGAAATTGGACAGCCAGATAGTCCAAAAAATAAAATATTTAGGAATTAACATCTCGGCACGCTGCTCCACGATTAAAGAAGATAACTATGAGAAACTGCTGAAACAAATAAAAGATCTGGAAAGATGGAACAATATAAGACTCTCGTTACTAGGAAGAATATCAGCAATTAAGATAAACATACTAGCCAAAGTGCTCTTCCTGTTTCAAAATATACCAATAAAATTAGACAAAAAATTATTTGGAGGCTTGCATAAATTGACGTTAAATTTTGTATGGCAAGAGGCCCAATATTAAATTGAAATTACTACAAGATACAAAAGAAAGAGGGGGATTTGGACTTCCAGAATGGGAATTATACTATCAGGCAGCAACACTTACCTGGATTAAGGACTGGATAAATTTAAAAAATAAAAGACTCTTGCACTTAGAAGGACATGACCTACAACAGGGCTGGCATGCATATTTGTGACTTGGCAGAAACACCGTCCATCAATATTTTTTAAGACACAAAATTCAACAAGCCCTACTTCTGATTTGGAATAAAATTAAACTTCAAAATTATATGGAACTGCGAGCCTGGTTATCGCCACCAGAGGCAATAGTTTATCCAAACTTGCATAATCCAATAAAAGCCATTACCTATAAAGATACTATAAATGATGTGGGCCAACTTAAATAGAGACAAGACTTAAAACAACAAGGAGTAGTTCTGGAATAGTGGGCCCATCTCCAAATACAATTACAGTATGAAAAAGATAAAAAAGAATGAGGAATCAATTGGTATTAGATAAAATCCTATTAGGACCAGAAGGTAAACAAATAAGGAAAATTTACAGATACTTATTGGACTATAAAATGCAAGAAGAACAGGTCAAGGAAACGATGGTGACTTGGGCTAAGGACTTTGGACACGATATAAATCTGGATCAATGGCAATTAATCTGGGAGTGAAATAAAACAACAACATTAGCCATATCATGCAAGGAAAACTTGTACAAGATGTTCTATAGGTGGCACCTCCCACCAGCAAAATTGTACGGAAACCAATGATGGTAATATACACTTCCATCCATGAATTGGGTATTTTAGCTTTAATCAAATCATGTACACACGATTTAATCAAAACTTTAATCAAAATTTCATTTACAACTTGCAATAACACTTCACTTATAGTGTCCTGTAAGGCTTTGTACATTTCTGCTGGCAGGCCATCTGGTCCTGGCACTTTTCCATTATTTTGTTTTTGGATTGCTTCTGTTAATTCCATCCTTGTAATTTTCCCTTCCAACATCATTTTGGTTTGTTTCTTCTGGCACTTTAGGTAATTCAATTTTCTTTATGCATTCCTCTATTTCTTCTATCTTCACTTGTTCCTCTTTGTATAATTCTCTATAGTACTTTTGTATTATTTCTTTTTTATCCTCATTTCTGTGACACAGATTCCCTTTATCATTCATTGAGATATCCTTTTTTTCTTTTTTCTTTTAACTTGTATGCCAACTATCTTCCTGGCTTGTTTGCGTTTTCAAAAAAAATCTGTTTAGTTTAATTTTTTGTGCTAGTTCTTCTTTATCTACTATTTCCAGTTTATGTTTTATCAAAATCATTTTATGTTGAATTTCTTGTATAAACTTTAGCTGTGTCCCATACATTTTGTAATGAAGTTTCTTCTTGTTTTGTTCAATGAAAAAAATTAATTCTTTTTCCATATGTTCAATATATTCTTTTTCTCTCAATATTAAATTATTAATTGTCCATCTTGACCTCTTCTTTTGTCCTTTCCATATTATCTTAATCAGGTTATGATCAGCCCATGTATTTGTTTCTATGCTTGTCTTGTATATTAGCAATTATTTCTGTTGTTGCCCATATCATATCTATTCTAGACCAAGATAAATGGCTATTTAAATAAAATGTATATTCTCTTTTCTGGGTATCTTTCTCTCCATGAATCTTGAATTGCTACTTCTTCTATCCTGCCGAGCATCCTTATTGAAAAACTGACTAGGATTTTACCTCTTCCTGAACACAGTGAGGGCTGGATCAGTCACATCCACCTCCCTGAAGCTTAGCACCGGCTCCCCACAGGACTGTGTGCTCAGTCCCTACCTGTACTCATTGTACACATGACTGTGTATCGTCTGACCCATCCATTGTGATAATTAAGTTTGCAGATGATACTACCGTTTTGGGTCTCGTTACAGGTGGAGACAAAACTGTGTACAGGAGGGAGGTTCAAAAATTATCTTCATGGTACCTAAAAAACAACCTGCACCTAAACATCAGCAAGACAAAGGAGATGGTGTTAGACTTGCAGAAGAAGAGAGAGGAACCCTCCCCACTTTACATCAAGGGGGGCTATGTGGAGTTTCCTCCTTTAAATTCCTGGGAGTCTACTTCAGCGAAGATCTTACCTGGAAAATCAACACAATCCAGGTGGCCAGAAAGAGTCTCCACTTCCTTAAGGCTTTGCGAAAGAATAAAGTGGAACAACAATTGATGACCTCCTTTTACCGATCCATAATAAAAAGCGTCCTCACATATTGCATTATGGTGTGGTATGCTGGCTTGACAGCCACAGATAGAAAGACATTACAGAGGGTGGTGAGCACAACACAAACATTGTGGGCTGTTCCCTGATACCACTAGGTGACATCGCTAGGGCTCGTTGTCTTACAAGAGAGAAAAATTCTCAGGGACGACTCACATCCCGGTCAGCACTTCTTCACTCTCTTACCATCGGGTAGGAGATATAGAAGCATAGCCAGCCATACCAACAGGCTCAAGAACAGTTTCTACCTGTGGGCTGTCAGACTTCTGAATGGAAAATAACTTCAGGTCAACATAGTATGAGAGACTAGCGGGGCCGGCACATTGTGCAACAAGATCACATAGGGTAATAAGATTGGGACTGGGTTAGGTACTTCTGTTCTCACTGTGAATTGTGTTGGGGGGGGAGTGCACGAAGGGAGGCTCAGCCAATCTCATTGTACACAAGTTGTACTCTAACAATAAAAGTAATAATAATAATAATTCTGCCATTTTAAAAAATGCTTTAGGTAGTACTTTTTTTTGTTCTTTTTATTTGTCTTTTGTGTTTTAGTCCTTTTTAACATCTACTATTGCATTATAATCTCCAATAATACAAATATGTTCATATCCCAGTTCTATTATTCTCTTGTGTAGTTTGTCATAAAACTCTTGATTTTCATTTGGAGCATAAATTGCCACTAGTAAAGTCTGTTTATAGTTCATCAACATTTCAACTATTAATATTCTTTCTTCCTCATTTTGGTAAATTAATTCCATTTTTATAGTGTCTTTTATGTATAGTGCTATTCCTTTTACTCTGTTGTGCAAATGTAGTATGTAATTTCCCAATATTAGGATAGTCTAATCTATTAAATATCATTTTCCTTTTAATTGCCAAATTTAGTCCATTTATATTAAGTATAATTAACTTAATTTCTTCTTCCATGGTTTTATTTATTGTAGGGTCTGGTTGATCTTATCACTTTTAACTCTGCTTGCTTTTTCTTCTTCCCTAATGGCTCTTTCCTCCACTTCTTTTTCTCCTTCTCTTTCTTGTCTCTCTTCTATCTCTATGACTTCTCGTAGTTTTATTGTTTCCATCTCTCTTCTCTTTTCTCCATATTCTCTAAAATATTGATCATAAAATAGTTCTGCTTTTTCAATTGTATCTAGTCTATGCCTTTGCTCTTGCCAAGTCACCATTATTCCTTCTGGTATCAGCCACCTGAAATTAATTTCTCTTTTAATCAAATATTTTGTCAGGAACTGGTATTTTTTCTCAAATCTCTTGCAGATCTGGGTATTTGCTTCAACACTATTATCTCCTTTCCTTTATATTTTAATGGTTCATCTTTCACCACCTTTGAATCTCTATTCTGATAGACCTCTTTGTAAATCTAATATGGCAATTTGTGTCTCATTCCATATGAAGTCTGGACTGTAAAAATTTCATCATATCATATATCATTTTCTCCTTTGTCTCCTTTCTAGCTGCTGCAAGTAGATCTGCCATTATGTCTGCCAGGTTTTCATCTTTTTTTTTCTACAACATTTTGAAATCTTAAATAAATAGTTGGCCTTGTCCATCTCCAACATAATTTTCTTTTTGTCTATCATCTAAGTTTATTAAAAATATATTTAACATTATTACTAGAATCTGCTTACGTTTGACCATAATTAAAGCTGTGAGAGACACTGTAAATAAACAGGTTCTAATTCAAAGGATTCTAAAATACCAGAGGTTGTGATTGCTAAGAGACTGCTTTAGCAAAATAGTTACATAGTCCCTAAATATCAACACATAATTTTTTGAAAGTTAATTGGGAATGACTGCAAATTCAAGGAACTGACATGGATCCCCTTTTAATTAACAGCTTAAATTTAAGCTGTTGGGTTTTAGAATGGAGAACAATATCTAGCAAAACATAAATACAAATTAAAGCTGAAAAGGAACATTGAGTAATAAATATTCATCACCAAGTATAAAGAAGCTAGCTGTATGATGCACGAAGTATTTAAAGAACATACCTTGTTCTCTTGAAATCTCTGGTTTATACCAAAATTTGGAAGTATCTTGAACAAAATTTACAGTTACGTGTTTATCACCCATATTTTCTGCGAGATAAAAAGATTAATATGATTTTAAAAAGCATACCATACTATCACAGCATAAAGCTGACAGTTTTTATAAGATAATACCATTCAGAAGTATGTTAATCATCACTATTACCATTCTTTATAGCACCTCATTCCCATCTCATAATGCAAGTGTGTCAGGAGGCATCTGAATATACTAGAAAGACATCCTACATGAATCTACATGTACATCCAATTTAAGTATGAAAGGTTTAATGGCTACACATTTTTGCATTAGTTGATTTGTACATAGAGAAACAATCATACTAAATAGCGAGAAGAGCTGTTACCCTTCTGGAATGCATACCTAACACTGGTGGTGGGTTTCCAACGTTAGAGAAATCTGGAAGAACATTTGGAAATGGAATTCTGATAGTGCTTCCACTATGTGGGCTGGAGAAAACACTTGAAGGCGAAACAGAGCCAAAAGAACATTCTGCCTCAGAAACCCTTTTCTTCTCAGGAAGAGGGGTTTCTGGATACATTTGCAATCCCTGAATTTGCTGACTAGTATATCCAGAAGATGATACAAGACAGGTATGTGGCAAACAATTACTGCCCACCATAGATTTTATTACTTTGGGAGACTCATCTGCATTTGCCATAAAAGAAAGGTTTTTTTCTTCCACTAACTGGTTACTGTTAGCAACAGTCTCATCATAATTCTGAAAAGTTTGGATGCCATCACAAACTGTAAGGTCCTGTTGTGGCAGAGCTGTTATATTTGCTAGATTGTTAAGTATCCCAGGCTGAAGTCCTTTTCTCTGGAAGTATAAATCATTTTGCTCAGGAACAGAAAGATCTGGAGACATGAGGTAACTTCCTATATTGATGTTACTCATTTCTGGAAACTGGGGCATCAAGGAAGGCTGAGAATTGTTTTGATGCCAAATATGTTCATCTGTTGAACTGTATAGGAAAGGGAACAAAAGTTACATCCTGTCTATTATAAATATTTCAGCATGCAGAATTTAAGATGAAGTCAAAACAACAATTGATTGCAGAAACACATGGATTTCAATGGTTTTCATGTGCTCAATTAACAAAAAAGTTTAATATGGAAAAAAGATAATTGGAACTGAATTATGTACAAATGATGAAAATATAATATCTAAATGTATAACATTTTGTTAAAATTTGAAATAGAAGAACAAATTAAATGTTGAATGACAAATAGGCTATTAGTTTTGGATATAATGTACAGATGGATACTTGTAAGACAATGTAACTGGTTTTAAACTTGCATTGTGTCATAACCCAAGAAAAAGTTTTTATAACATCATGTAATGCTGATATATATGATCCTAGAGAAATTATCACATATGTACAAAATTATTTCAAACCAGTGTTGGAAATGTGAAAACCATGAAGTGATATTCTATCATGCATTGTAGACTTGTGAGAAGGTATGGATAAAATTAATATGATAATACAAAGTAATTTAAAGATAAATATTATGAAGAAACCAGAAAGCTTTTTATTAGGACTTATGCCCAGCAATTAAAAAATAATGAAATCGCCACATGAAGGAATGAACTGTGAAATGCTTAGAATTTCCTGAGATGACTTATCTCATCAGAGAGAAAAAAGTAACGAAAATGTTTTTGAAAGACTGGGAACCTTATGATGATTTTTTGTTAAAAGAAAAAAAAATGATTCACAAAAAATGATTTGACAATTAAAAAAAAACTATAGATCAAGTAAAGGGCTGAAGGGATTTGTATAACATAAGATGGGGAGAGTTTGACTGGCATGGTAGCCTAGAGGTGAAGACACTTGCCTCCTACTCAGAAGGTTGAAAGTTCAATCCTGCAGCAGCAGATGTTTCTCTATCAGAAAGCAAAAAGAAAATATCTGCTGCAAACTTCACATAGATATTAGGAAGGGCATCCAGCCAGTAAATACTCAGCTCCACTCAGTTGCCCTAATTCCATCCCAAAACAAAGGGATTAAAAAGTTGTAAAAGGGGAAAGGGGCGGGCAGAATGATCATAGAATTATAATTATCTGTAAAAGCGGTCAGAAGTCATATTTTATAACTTTAGTTTTTTAAAAAATTCTTTCATTTTACTTCTTTTTCTGTCGGAAATTTAAGGAAGAATTAGATTTTAACTACCTCTCTTTTCTTGAAATAATAGTATCATTTGAAACTGAACATGTAGCTGCAAAAGGCCGATGATGGGAAGGAACCGATTCAATGCCAGCCTGCAACAAGGATGGATTTGGAGTTCTTGAATTGTCAGATATCACAGTGGAGTGATTAAGGTCTTCTATGTAACCTCGGGGTTCTGCAAAAATCAAGAAAATAATATTGTGGTTAAGATCGTAACCCTGTAATAATAACTAATACTATCTATTATCAGCAATGAAAGCACTATGAAGAGGTAAGAAAATCAGAGGCAGTATTGCAAGTTATCTCTCTGTTCCACATATTTATGATGCTATTTATATAGAAACATAAACATATAACTCATAAAGACACTTTATACAAAATATTTTCTTTCTGAATAAAACTATCAAAGAGGCAAACAATACATCAATAAAAAAACTACCAACTAAAGGCAAACAAGCTAACAGTAAACTACAGCCCAATCAAGGAACCACCACTCCCACCAACACTAATATAGCACACCACTAGTACATAAAATGAGAGCAACCCTACTCCCTACTAGCACTGATGATGTTACCTAATTTGGTAATGAATGTTTTTAAGAAAATAACTAAGTTGAGAGCATTAAGTACCCACAATTCTTAACAATTAAAGTTTTTAATTGGCACACCCTGGTATAAACATGGACTGAGATATTAATATCTTTGGAAGCATTCAATACAGGCTCCAATGATTAAACCCTGGAAGATGTTAAGTGACATTCTAAGTATACCTGACATAAGTATAAAAGAATTTGTATTATATTTATTATATGAAATATAATAAAACTAAATAAGATTACATTGGAAATATAAAAGCCAAATCAAGAAATTGGACAAGAAATCCTCAATGGTGTCTCTTAGTGGATTTACAAAGTAATTGGAAAAATATCTGAAAAAGCCCTGAAATGTTGAAGATTGATTAAAGACCAAGTTCTGTGATATCACTGGAATGAAAGGTCAAGACTATGAAGTAAAAAAAAATGAACGAGTGTAAATTTGACTGATCAAGATAAATTATATAATTAATATTTCTTGTGGATTGTAATGAACATTTTCTGAAATAGGATTTTAAAAAGTTTCTGTATTGCAAATAAGTATGATTTCAGTTATGGGAAGCAGAAGTTTCTGTTTGTAAGATTAAAAGGGGTGAAGAGTTATTGTATTAGCTTGTGCTCAATATGATTAATATTGAAACCCACTTCTTTATTATTGCCTCTGTTTTGTTTTTATTTTTTCTCGGTCTTGCATTTTTTTAAACTTCTTACTTTTCATTAATAGTTTATTTTGTATTTGTTTTTATTTATGTATTAAAAACCTCAATAATGTTACTAGAAAATAACCAAGCTGAATATGCTGTGCACATCAGCCATTATGTCTACAGTTGGTTAAACATCTCAAGTGAACCAAGACGAATTGTTGCACATTTTTAATAAACTTACCCACAGTTATCTACTATATTAAGCACTACAAACACACACCATAAATGCTAAAAATGTCTGTTCCTAGCTGCCTAGTAAACCACATGTGGTAAGTTAGTCACCTACATTGTCCAATGAAATACTGAATTTCATGACATCTGGAGAATTGCAGTCATATTATTTTTAGCTGACCAGCAAACTGAAATAACCTAGCAAAATCACATACATTTAAACAGTGTTTTCCAAATGCCTATTTTTCACAAATGGATGTTTCCACATAGCACTAATATAGAGTATTAGTTCTTTCTGAAATTGGAAATATGTCATTCTTTCCTCCCATGAATATAGAGGGATGATTATACATAGATCTTACATAGAATAACAGAATTGGAAGGGACTCTGGAGATCTTCAACCCCCTGATCGAGTAAGAGAGTCTATACCATTTCAGACAAATGACTGCCCAGTCTCTTCTTGAAAGCCTTCAGTGATATGGCACCCACAACTTTTGAAGGCAAGCTATTCCACTGGATGATTGTTCTCGTTGGGAAATTTCTCCTTACTTCTAGGTTGCTTCTCTCTTTGATTAGTTTCCATTCACTGTTTCATGTCTTGCCTTCTGGTGCTTTGGAAAATACTTTGCTGCCCTCAATCTTGTGGCAGCCCTCAAATACTGGAAACACTGCTAGACCATCTCCCCTGGTCCTTCTTTTCACTACACTAGACATGAAACAACCAAGCCTTAGGGCAACTCAAGATTTCCTTCTTCTCATTATTAGAGGACTATTTAAAGAGAACCACTATACCACAGGTTTTATAACAGATATAAAAATAACCAACATCAATGTTCTTACATTTGATCACCTTTTAAAAGCTTAACATTTTCACTCATGTTCTCCAAACTTTTAACAAATATGGCAGGTTCAAAACATAACAATACTTTTGATTCAACAGTTTGTTTCCTTTTATCTTCATAATCAAATGTCACTCTATTCTGATTTCCAAGGTCCCTGTTTTTATAAATTCTATAATAAATTTGCAAAGCTGAATGTGCACTCATAAATTTCAGTATATCATTTTAGATAAAAAAAATATATATTAAAAGATATTGCTTGAGGCAATAAGCTAACCTAACAATAGTATGACTCAAGAGTCTTCAGATTCTTAACATAGCTTTGATAATATCAAATACTCTATTTTTACTACAAAAGGAAGCATGTAAATGGAATACAACAATGAAACAGGATATATGTTTAAATCCTAACAGTGGAGAAGCTATTTGATATTTTAGCAATCATATCTAGGTTTTTTAGCAGAAGAAACATAACCCTAGCATTCCATCAGGTAGAGAATGAGTGAGCAAGCACTGTTCTACAAAGCCAACGTTTCTTGTCTTAATTTTTTATTGTACTCCACTTTGAACAAATTCATACATGTTGAATGACATTAAATTGTGCCCACATAACATATTACACATGCATGTACAGAGAATGTCATTTCTTAAGTAATAATCTTTTGCAATGGAAGAATATTATATTATTATAATACTGTACTATGCAAAATGTAGTCACCGAACCAGTAGTAACACCAGTTTAATCCCACCCCTGGGTGGGGCCATGACACAGGGACAGAGAAATATCACAACCCTGCAGGCTTCTTTCCCCTTTGGAAAAGCCTTTTTGCACAGAGGATAGAGGTGTGGAGAGATGCAAGACAAGTCGACAAAACGATATTTGCTTGCTTTTGCTAATGGTGGGGATTGGACAAATGCAAGAGGGAAAAAAATGACACTTTTCTTGCTTTTTCCTTCCTCCCCATGCTAATTGTGGGGTGGTTTCATTTGGTGAGGAAGAGATCGTTTTAACCTTGTTTCCAAAGATAGCTGATTAACTCTTACACAGCTTGGATGCAATTCGATGTAAGAAATGGGAATAAAACCCAGAAGCACTAACTTTCAGCAAATGCAGAAGTAAAGCTTGGAGCCCATAAAGGAAATTGGACAACCTACACAACAAACACCCAAAGTAACTCCTGAATAAATAGCTTTTTGAGTTGTATCTCTCTCCAAAGCACCAAGAGTGAAAGGACACTCTACTCTTATCAAGAAAGCACTTTCAGCTTTTTGGTCGTCAAGCCAAAGATTTTCTAAATACTCTTGTCCCTTCTCTATAAAGGAAATTGACACTGCCATTGGTAGGCTAAAATGTGATAAAGCATCAGGCTTCAATGGTATTCATCCTGAATTCCTGATAAATTCCGGGAGGCACACACAGAATTGAATTGATAAATTCCTCTCAGATATAGTTTCCAAAGGCTGCCTCCCATCAGAATTCAAAAAAGCTAAAATAATATCACTTCTAAAACTTGGCAAACCACAACCAGAGTTGAAAACTTACTGCCCAATCACCCTTTTGAGTTCCTGCTACAAATTAGTGGAAAATTTAATTATAAACAGGATAGGTACCATATTATATCAACATCTGTCCATGGTGGCTTCTGACAAGATCAGAGCTTTGTAGACCAGGCGTTAAGTCTAACAGGGTTTAAGGAAGCACGATTCTAACAAAGCCTCAAAACCACAGCCGGGTTCATAGATCTAACAGTTTGCAAAGGCAGATTGTTATATTATCTGTGCCCTATTATCCTCTGCAAAAATCTCTATCAACTAATTAATAACATGTGGAGTGTGTCAAGCGTGAAACATTGGCATTTTCAGAAAAGACATAATCCTGGACTTTTATTTGGATACTCAAGCCGGATGCTGACAGAGTGATAGATTCTTTCAGATAATGGGAGACAACATAAGTAAGTTAAGATGAAACAATGGTCTTTCACAAGGATCTGTAAGGGCACCTACATTCTTCAACCTATACATATGAGATATGCCAGTGACATAATTTGGATATGCTGATGATTTGGCCATCACAGTACAAGAAAACACATTGAGATGGCTCACAGCCGCCTTTCCAAAGATCTCAAAATATTGGAAAAAAATTTCACAGATTAAAGGCAAAAAAATAACTCTTTGAAATATCTTTTAAGCTAACAACAAAAAATAATCCAGCTACAATGATTTGACTTTAAGACAATTTCAGGTAACTCCATCTGGATGATTACGAGTCTTCACTGATACATTGCAAAGCACTTTGGAGAGGAAACCCATGATATTGGTGTGGCAAGAGTTGGTACATTCCAACAACTCTCTAACTTGCTTGTTCTGATTGATGAAGCTGCCCGGCTGAGCAGCAAAACACTTCCCAAACTAACAAAAACAAATAATCCAGTTCTAATGATTCAGTCTTCAAACAACTTTCAGTAACTATGTGATTCCACCTTAACACAAACTGACATATAAAACCCTGAAGGTCTACTTAATTAACTTATTCACCTATGATCCCCATACAAAGTACCTTGGAGTAATATTGGACCAGGCTCTCTGCTACACTATAGATTACAGCGGCCAGCATCAATATTAGGAACAACATACTCCAGAATTATAATGTGGAGTTTCAGCTACCATCCTCTGATTATTAGCACTAAGGTTGGTCTATTCTGCAGCAGAATATAGTGCCCTACCATTCTAGTAAGTTAGATGTCAGATTCCCTGACACCATGATTAGAAGCAGATGTATTATCCGACTAGCTGGCTTCCCATTCTGATTCATATAGCACTGCCAGCTTTACAAAGGCAAGATACACTAGTGAGAGAGAATACAGAAAA